AGGGTGAACACGTTACTAAATATCAAGGGGTGAAAACATCCACAGGCATTTGTTTGGAGTCTACCACCTGCCAGGTAACCTAATCTAATGACCTGCTCTAACCTAGTATTGAGGAGACAGAGAAATACAACGCTCCTCACAACGCACACTGTGAATTTCAATGTGAGGCAATAGGTTCTAGTCAGAAATAAAGGCTCAGGGACTATAAAATACATCAGAGGGTCATCAGCCCAAAGAGACTCAGGATGGGCTGCAAAGAGAGGATGGCTAACGTGAGACTCAGGATCAGCCATTCTTTTCTAGACTGAGAAGAGGAGAGGGTAGAAGTGTCTCCAGGAGACAGGACAGCAAGAGCAAGTTCTTAGAGTTGGGAATAACCTGCAGTTCAGGAAGCTACCAGCAGCTTCCAGACAAGGTGGAAGTGTCCCAAGTGGTACAGCTGGTGGGGAGAGACAGGAACCATGGAAGCTNTCGGGATGGCTAACGTGAGACTCAGGATCAGCCATTCTTTTCTAGACTGAGAAGAGGAGAGGGTAGAAGTGTCTCCGGGAGACAGGACAGCAAGAGCAAGTTCTTAGAGTTGGGAATAACCTGCAGTTCAGGAAGCTACCAGCAGCTTCCAGACAAGGTGGAAGTGTCCCAAGTGGTACAGCTGGTGGGGAGAGACAGGAACCATGGAAGCTGCCACTAGGACGTGGGTCCTGCTGTTAGGCAGAGAAGGGCAAGACCAAATAAAGCTCATCTGGTGTTTAAAAAGAGCTATTGCTGATTCTCAGTTCTGATGCTCTCCATTTTTTGCTCATTGCTTGTTCTCCCTGGACTCAGTNGTGGTACAGCTGGTGGGGAGACAGGAATCATGGAAGCTGCCACTAGGACGTGGGTCCTGCTGTTAGGCAGAGAAGAGCAAGACCAAATAAAGCTCGTCTGGTGTTTAAAAAGAGCTATTGCTGATTCTCAATTCTGATGCTCTCCATTTTTTGCTCATTGCTTGTTCTCCCTGGACTCAGTTTCCTCATTTTCCCATGTTTAAAAAAATGTTCTATTTTTGGAGAGAGACAGAAGGAGAAAATTATTAGCCTGATATATCCAAATCAATCCAGATGATCCTTTGCAGAAAATAACATTTCTATAACGCAACTGAAGGCATCCAACTCATAAATGCTTTGCTACTCATGATCTAGATAGGACGCCAACGTCCAACTGGGTCGCACTTAACCACACTGAGCTTTCAAATGCTGGCTGGTCAAATAGGAGTGTGCTCCAAGAGTAAACACTCACCAGAGTTTGAAGACTTAATATAAAAAAAAAAAAAAAAAAAAAAAA